GGTCACGCAGTTAGGAAGCATCAGAGCTGCTTCAGGACCAGTTCGTTATTAGCTGCTCTGTGTGTGTGTGTGTGTGTGTGCCCATCTGTCTGTCCTCCTGCCTGCCTGTCTGTCTTGCAGGCTGTTTCACACGCTCACATACACATCCGCCTCATTCTTTCCAACTGCTGCGTGGTGTAAATGGGATATAACTTATTTATTGACTCCCCCTCCCCCGGATGGCCATTTACTGTGGTTTGGAATTCTTATGAGTAAACCCTCATGAGTGGAGCCTAATGCAAATGACGCTGCAGCAAAGGTTTTATTTAACAAAAACATGCTAAGTGCCAGGTGCTGTTCTGAATGCTTTCTAATAGAATTAGCAATTTGTTTAACCCTTGGCAAAACCCTCTGAAGAGGTACTGACATCCGCAGCATCCACCCACTTTGCAGATGAAGAAGCTGAGGCATGGAAAGATTAATGCAGCTGACGACTGGGAGAGCTGGGACGGGAACCCAGAGAGGGAAGGAGATAGAGGCACATTTCTCACTGACCCCTGTCCTTGGCCACTCATCTTAGGACACACGTGCTAGGGTGCAGAGTGTCAGTTAATTCTTCTTCTCTGCCCCCTCCTCCTACTTCTGACTTTAGATCTTTTATTGCTCAAAAAACAAAACAAAACCTTAGCTATCTGATTTTGTCCTTGTGTGTTTGACACTTTCAAGGAAAGCACTCGGTCCCATCGTGGACACATGTAGCACACATGGAGCCACCCTCGGCCTCGCCAGCACCTTTCCTTGTTTTAGACAGTCTCCTGAGATCTTTAGGCCTCACGGCCCGAACCCCTCAGGGTGGCCCAGGCACGCAGCGTGTACGGATTTGGGTACTTCCCCGTTTTCTTGTTATGAAAGGCCAACATTCCTATTGCCGTGCGTTCACACAGCCTGGTTTTGTCCAAGGCCGCACTTGAGAAAAGCCTGTGACAGATGTCAAATGCTGCACAACTCTGGCCTCCAGATGCCATCCCCAGAAGAGCTAGGGGTGCTCTTGCAGGTTAAGGAGGTATGTTTGCATTCTGCTGTTGCTTGAGGGGTCAGGAGTCAGCCAGGGAGTGTCCTGCTGCATCTCTGGCCACCCCACCCCCACCCCCGCCGAGGAGGCAGCTGCAGCTGGGCAGAGCCCAGAGGCTGGAGCCCACACTGGGCTCTTTGTCTTTGGTGGGAACCCTGCAGCCCCCGTGGCCCTTCTCAAGGGCCCACTGTCCCAGCACCAGCGGGGCCTCCAGGGGGCCAGGCCCTGCTGGGAAACTTGGCATGGTGCAAGCTCCTTGGCTGCCTTGCCAACTGGGCATGCAGAGTCCACTCAGGAAGCATTCACCCTGAAATGAGACTAGCAAGGCTGAGCTCCAACCCGAGAGGGGCTGGAGTCCTGGGTCCTGCCAGGGCTGTGCACACCTTCTGCAGCCAGGGCTCGCTCCTGGTTTCTGTTGCATCCTGCCCCCAGGGAGGAAGGGAAGGAAGGAAGGTAGGAAGGACTTTCTCCTCTTCTTCCTCTTCCTCCTCCTCCTTCTCAGGTGGCCTGGTGCTGCCAGAGCCTCCTCCTCAATAGCCCCCCAACCTGAGCTTCCCTGTGCAGTGTGGGTCTCCCACACCCAGCATCCCTCCATCCAGGGTCCACAGCCCGGCCTGGGCTCCAGGGTGCCCTGCCCAGGGAAAGCCAGAGAGCCTCTGAGAGCCACAAGCCGAGGCAGGTGGGTCTCTAGGGTAAGGATTAGCCTGGCCCTGTTTTGGAGGTTGCTTGGCACACAGAGAGTACAGAGAAGTGCGGTGGGATCTTTGGTGGAAGCAGAGGGTATCTGGGGCGGCCCTCAAGAGAGAAGTCACTGCGGGCAGCGAAAGTCTGTTTTTAGCAACACCTGCACTGGCCCACCCTGAGGCATGCTGTCCCCCGCAGTCTCTTCCTAGGGAGGGCTGCACCGAGCAAACTCTGGCCCCTTTCATGGAAGGCTTCTCAAGGGTCCCCCTGCCCCTTGATTCTTGTGCCCTTGGTTGTCCTTCCTCTCTGGCCCCCACTGCCTTTGTTCCCCACAGATCCTTCAAACAGAAGGTCCCATAGAAACCCTCAGAGCTCTGACAGGTCCCCCGGGTGGGGAGGCAGAGGAACCATCTCTCCCTCTATGGGAGGAGTCCTGGGGCAGAGCCAGTGCCCCTAGTTTGCTGACATGTCTCCAAGTGGGTCAGGGCAGTAGACCTGGAGTCTGGGCTAACTGTGCACAGAGGAGGGACTTAGAGTGTTTGTTGAGTGAGTGAACGAGTGACTAGCTTTACCACTCAGCCAGTACCCCTTCCATAGGTGGCTCCGTGAAGGAACCTGAGCTGGAAGGATTTTCAAGAGGAACCAGGTGTGGCACAAGCCTGTAATCCTAGCATTCTGGGAGGCTGGAGCAGGGAGGCTGAAAGTTCTGGGCAACTTAGCAACTTAGTGAGACTGTGTCTCAAAAAATAAAAGAGCTTCGGATGCAGCTTGGTGCAAAGGCCCGGAGTTCAGTCCCCAGCTTAGGGGAGGGCAGTGGTTGGGATGCTTCCAGACTTCCCTTTTGCTCAGCCTCCTCTCCAGAGCCATGGGGGAGAGGCGTTTCCAGGAAGGGGGCTGGGCTGGGGCGGCGGACTGGGGTGACAGTGGGCACTAGCAGGGCCACTGGAGCCTCAGTTCTTCCCTTTGAGCATTCCTTGGCCTGAAGCGCAGAGCCTGAGCCCTGGATGGAGCTCCCTGAGCTGGCACTCACTGGGCATTTGCTGTGCGCCAAGGCCAGGGCCCAGGGCAGTCTACCTTAACTTTGCTCCTCATCCTGAGGCCTTTAGGAGGCTCGCAGGTCCCCGCACATGGTGCAGACCACTGGGACCCTGGGTTCCACTCTTGACCCAGCCCGCTGTGCTTCCCGCCTCTGGGTGATGGGGCACGGATCCGACGGGCCCGTGGCTCCATGGGGCACGGAAGAGGGTGCCGCCCCCCCGCAGCCCCGCCTGCCGGCCCGGCGAGGGCGGCGCGAACAAGCGGCCCTTTCTGCGCGGCTGCTGGGCAGCTGGACCGCGGCCGCGGGCGCCCACTTCCTGGCCGGCGGGCGGGGCGCGCGTTGCCGAGGTGATCGCGGGGAGGGCGCGGGCCGGGGAGGCCGGTGGCGGCGGCACCATGAGCGGCCGGCGGCGCAGCTTCACCTTCGGCGCCTACGGCGGGTAGGTGCGCGGTCCCAGCTGGAGCCAACTGTGCCTTCACGCGGGTGCGCGTCGGACCGCACATTGTTGCCAGGTCTGGGTGTGTCTGCGCAGTGTCCTGTGTGTCCTAGTTAGGTGTCCTGTGCATGTGTGGGGACGCGAGTGTAGTTAGTTTGCAGTGAGTAACAGCATGACCGCTGATGCGTGTGACCCAAGGGAGACTGGCTTGTGTCTACGTGTGTAGGTACACGTGCGCATGCATAGGTGTGTGGAGCCAGCGGGCAGTCAGGTGAGGCTCTGCTGGCACCGCCACTCTGCCTCTGAGGCTGGTGGGTGCCTGGAAGCTGCCAGTGCCCTCCCGCACCCTGGCCACCCGACCTCAAGCCCCAGGAGCCCCTTTTCCCTGGGCCACTGGCTGCTTGGGCCTGGGTGCCTGAGAAGTGATCAGATGGCCACTGGTCCATCCCAGGGCCGCTGTCTCTCCTGGCCTGCTCAGGGGATGCAGAGGTGGGCCGGGGGCTTCTTGCCCTAGGAGAGGTTTGGCAAATTGGAAAGAAGCTGGGACATACAGCCTGGGCCCAGGGGCCTATCCTGACTCCCAAAGGCTGCATGACCTTCGCCAGCCCTGTCTCCTGGCCCCCGGAGTGGGGGTGTTGGGCTGTGGAGAACTTGAGTCTCGGGCCTGAGTGTTGCTGGGGTGCAGTCAGGGTTTTCTAGGCTGTAAGCCTTGTGTCTAAGATACCTCCCCACCTCCAGGGACCCCAGACAGGGGCAAGTGGGTGGGACACACAAGGGCTTCCTGGGACTTATCTGGGACTTGCTGGCTGTCAGGTGGAGAGGGAAGCCTGGCCCAGGGCCCAACTCCCTTGTCAGCTGACGCCAGGGACAGCAGAGGTGGAGTCCAGGTGTGCTGTGTGCCCTTGGGGGAGCCTCCTCAGCCCCACTTTCTTGCCTGCAGAGCCGACCTTTCTCCTCAGCTGACCCTGGAGGCCCAGCCCTCTCCCAGAGGCCGCCCTCTGGCTGGCCCAGGCCCTGGCTCCCTCCTTTCCTTCTTGCCTAGGGGCAGAAGGCAAGAGTTGTTTGTTGTGTCAACAGCTGGGAGCCGCTGGACCCCCAGCTGGGTGGGAGGAGGGAGCCCCCAGTCCACCCAACCCCAAGGTGCCCTTTGAGGGCAGTGGGGTGAGCCTCCGGGAGGGGACACTGTCCATACTCTCCAGGAGGCTGGATCTTAGTTACGCCTTCTTTTTCGTTTTCTTTTCTTTCTTTTTCTTATACCCGGGATTGAACTCACCACCTCGCGTTTGCCAAGCAGGCACTTTGCCGCTGAGCTAAACCCCAAGCCCTGGATCTTAGGAATGGGGCAACACAGTGTCTGGGGGTACCTCTGAGCCCTTGAGGGTGTGCGGAGACACATATGTGAGGAGATAGGTAGCTAGGGAGCTCCTCGTGGGTCTCTCCCAGTTTCCAGGTGTTTGTCCCCCGGGTGGCTCTGGGTGAGCTCCTGTTCAGGGACTGAGGTGGCCATGAGCTTGGGGATGGGCGTGGCCTCCTTCCTGCCTGTCACAAGCCAGTCACCTGTACCCAGGCCTTCGTCTGGCCCCACTGTCCTACTCCACCTGGCCCAGGCCTACCCTGTGGCCCCTAATCCTTACCCTGTGACCCCCACATCTTCCCCTGTCCCTCTCCTGACCCAGGGCCCTGCAGCCAAGGGAACTGTGACTGCAGAACCCGCTCTGGCCTCTGGGGGGCAGGGCAGGGCCAAGATGCTGAGAGGGCCCCCCTCACCACTGTCCCTTGCTGTGTTTCAGGGTGGACAGGTCCTCTTCCCCTCGCAGGAGCCTGTGGTGAGTACTGGGGACACCCTCAACGCGCTCCCACCAACCCTCCCATCCCCCTTTCTGGGTCAGGGGGTGGGAAACGTCATTATCAGCTCTGGATTCTGTCTGGAGTTCAGCCACCGAGTCAGACAAGTCATAGGCAGGACCTAGCACCAGCGCTGCCTGTGTGGCTGTCGGCGATTTATTACCGTCTCTGATTCTGTTTTCTCACCTGTGAAATATGGACTGAGAAGCTGGGTATGGTGGGACAAGACTGTAATCCCAATTACTCTACTCAAGAGGCTGAGGCAGGAGGATGGCAAGTTTAAGGCCAGCCCAGGCAATTTAACTGAGTTGTTATCTCAAAATAAAATAGTAGCCAGGGGTGTAGCTCAGCGGCTTAAGTGCTTGCCTGGTAAGCGCAAGGTCATGAGTTCGATCCCCAGCACCCCCCCCCAGAATAAATAAAAATAATGAAATAAAAAAGTACAAAGGAATGAGAATGTAGCTCAGTACTTCCTAGGTTCAGTCCCCAGTACTTAAAAAGAAAGGAAGCTTTTTAATAGGGTATAAGTTTGAGAATCAAGGAAGCAAATGGGCCTGGTGGCCTGCACTAAAAGTTCCCGTTTTCTCTTTCCCTACCCTTCCCACTTCAGGGTAGCTGCTTTTCTCTGACCCCCAAACCTACAGACCTCCCTCAGACCCCCTCTTGTAGCCCCTTTCCTGTGTCTGAGCCGCGCTGCCCGTGGAGGGGGGAGGGACTGCAGCGTTTGAGGGAGCAGAGGGCACCCTACCTTGGTTTTACCGTGACGATGGTGCCGGCAGGCAGGCACCCTTGGCTTCCCTGGCACCGGCATCACATGGGCCTGGCTGGCAGCTCCTGCTGCCCCTTCACCTGCTGCAGGAGAGACCCCCAGTGGCTCCTGCTTCCTGGCCTGCTGAGGGCTTCCTGGGGACTGGGGACCATGTGGTGCCCCCAACTGCTGGGAGACTCCCCTCCACCACCAGAGCCCCTGGGAAGCCACACCCGGGGCGGGAGCACATGGGTGTCCAGGCCGAGGCTTTTCATTTCCGCCTGACACTCCCTGTGCAGTCGGGGGCTGGCTGCTCTCCGGTTCTGGGCTGCATCTCCTGGTGCGGTGCCCCGTTGGTCCGAGTCTGTCCTGCACACAGGATGGTATGCTGTGCCCAGAGCAGGGGTAGAGCGGGCAGATAGAGACAGAGGAGGAAGACACTGCCCTTTCCTATAGGGACCTCGATAGTCCTGTCACACACCTGCTAGGTGCTGTTCAGTGCTTGGCATGCGCCATTATATGTGGCCTTGAGCATGCCTTTGAGCTGGGGATGCTTGTCTCCAACTACAGGTGACAGCAGTGAGGCAGAGTGGGACAGTGACTCCTCCACACAGCGCAGAGCTGGGATTTGAACCTTGACCTTCCAGACTCTGTGCACAGCCTGCTCTCACTTTATCCAAGGCTTCCAGGCCACCAGAAGGGTCTGAATAAGGGCCACACTTCAGGGGAGACTTGGAGCTGGAGAGGTGACCCAGCGATCCACTCTAGGGAGCCCTGAACCGAGAGTTAGAGATAAGGACTAAAGGCTGATAGTAACTGAGCAGCTGTGTGACCTTGGGTAAGTCCCTGTCCCTCTCTGGGCCTCGGTGAACATCTGTGAAATAAGAATCTGGAGCCCCTGGACCTGCCTGTTACCCACCGTGCCTGGCTCTGAGCAACCCCAAGTTGCTGTCCAAGGTGCTAACCCTGGGCCTTCCCTTCCCGACCCCAAAGCCAATTGTTCTGCCCTGAGCCCGAGCCCACCATCTATTTATTGCTTAGTAAACAGTGGCTGTTCTGACCAGTAATGACAGTCTCCCTGCCACTTAAGGCCTGAAGCCACCTCCCTGTCCAGTAGGGGCTCCTGCCTCTGTTTCCTGAGTGGTTCACGGGACTCCAGCCCCAGCCAGTGCGTCCACCATGCTTTTATTCACGTGCCCTCTCTCCTTGACACCGTCCACCGCCCCCCTCATCCCCTGTCCCCTTCCTTTCCATGTGCTGTCTCCTCCGTGAACCCACATCCCTTCTGCCAGACCTTTGAATGTCCCCTGCTGTCCACCGTGTTCATGGCAGGCTCATTCCTGGGGGCGTCCGACCCATGAGACTGAATCAACTTCTGCCGCTCTCCAGCTGTGTGGCCTTGGGCTGGTCATTCTCCTTCTCTGGGCCTCCTTCAGGCACATGACTGTCTGTGGACTGGCTACTGCAGGGAGGTGACCAAGGGGATGAGGTGTGTCCACATCCCCTCTAGACATGAGGCTGGCTCCCCGGTCTGAGAAGCAGGGACTGCCTGGTTGCTCTGGGGCTTGACGTCATGATGCTTGGCACAGATTCTCTCTGGCTCTTCCCTTCCTGTTCTCACCTGGTTGTGCAGAGGTGCTGTACCCGGTAGATGCTTCATGGCTGTTTGTGGAATTGAATCAAATGTGTTCCAAAAGTGAAGTGGTGAAACTTTGTCAGCAGTCTGGGGAAGCTTCCTGGAGGAGGTGTGAGTTGACGCACTGCCTTTTAACAAAAAGCTTAAGAGGTTGGGGCTTAGATCATAGAAGTCGTGGGGCTGGATTCCCCCACTCCCACCCCTCAGCTGCTCATCTCCACAGGAGGGGCTCAGAGCCGGGGAGCCCAGGGAGGAGAAGGGAGGCTCCATGGAAGGGTGGGCACCCATGAGAATTCTGCTTCTGCAGTTCTGAGGGACCCCAAGTCCAGAGTGGGGCTGGACAGCTAGGGTGGGATTTGGGTGGGGAGCTGGGGCGGCGAGGTGGATGTCCAGTGTTGATTTCTGGGAAAATCCCTTGGAATAGGAGAACTGACTTTGCCCTTAAAACTGGGGAGCCTGGAGGAGGAGGCAGGCCCTGGCAGGGACAAAGTGTTGGCAGTGTCCTGGGCATTGAGCCATGGCCTCCGCCCTGAAGGTTGGCTTCGGTGTCCCCGTCTGAGAGGCCACATCAAGACAGAACGGTGAAGGCTCTGGTCCAAAGTCACGCAGCTGGCGGGGGCTGGATTTGAATCTCTGTCTTGCTGATGGCTGTGTTTTGGTCAGGAGTAAGGGAGGTTTTGGTTATGGGGAAGAGAGGGGGACAGTGATGTGGCCTGGAATGCCCCCAAATGTAGCAGTCACTCTTCTACCTGATGTGGACGGCTGGGAGGGCCCAGCTGGTCACTGACATATCCCCACATGGCAGGATTAGTACCAGCTGCTCCCTGTATGGGACACTTCCTATGTCCTGGGCCCTGGGCCAGGTGCTTCACTAGAACTGTTTCTTTCCATCTGGACACCAGCCTTATAGAGTAGATGCTATCCCTATGTATCCCCATTTTACAGATGAGGAAACTGAGGCTCCGAGTGGGGGTGGCTGGCCCCAGGGCATGCTGGTAAAGCAACACTGTCAACAAGGGCCGACTGCCCCCGAGCCTTCGATGCTGCTGGGCTGGGTGGTGGGTTTGGGTGGGTGGCCCCCTTCTTGGGTGGCTTGTCTCGGTGGTCATGCAGAGGCGCCCGGGGGCTGTGTGCTGCTGCAGGAAGCGTGAGGCTGGCCTCATTAGAGACTGAAATGCCAGGCAGGCAGGCACTGCTGGGCCTCCTCATCTATTATACATCTGGTGGGCAGGCCCCCGGCGGGCAGCTGGCAGAGCACAGGGAACCGGCAGCTGCCTCCTGAGCCCGCACCTGCCACCACCTCTGGGCAGGGACCTGCCAGGCCAATGCCAAGGTAGCAGGTGCCATGTTGCCCAGCCCAGCCAGAATGAGGGGTTCCTGCTGGGGACAGGGCACGGATGCTGGTCCCAGGTCCTTAAAGCTACCCAGCCTGGCAACCACTCAGGGAGGGGCTGGGACTGTGGCGGGGCGATTGCCTACTGCATGCAGGTGTGGTTCTCGGTACTGCAGAGCCGGTGGGCAGCGAGCCAGGGCAGTCCCTCTCCCCCGAGACCTTGCTTTGGCAAGATCTTAGCCTCTCGGCCTCAGTCTCAAACTGGGGATCAGAGAGGCAGATTCTCAGTAAGTAGACAAAAAGCCGAGCTCGGATGGGTTTCAAAGCCAGGTCTTTCCCGAAGGTTTAATTCGAGCCAGGCTGAGTTCCAAAGCTCTCTGCACACGTGGATGAATTTCTTCCTCGCTGGTTCTGTTCTCATTCCTGAGTAAGACCCGAGGAAACTGAGGCAGAAAGGCTAGGGACCTGCTCAAGCTCTCTTGGCAAAGCTGCAGTTTGAACCTAAGCAGTCTCTGGCCTGCCTCTCATCCTGTGCTGGAGGAGGAGTTCAAAGCCTTCTTAGAAAGAGTATTTGGACTAAAGTTGAAGAATGACAGGAGCCAGCCATGAGAAGAGCTGGTGGGTGTGGGATAGGAATGCCAGAAAGGGAATGGCAGTGCAAAGGTCCCGAGACAGGAATGAGTTTAGTATGCACTGTGGATAGTGAAGGATAATAGACAATTGAAGTAAGAGGTAGGTTTGGAGAGTGGGGAGAGGACAAAATTGACTGGAGTCTTGCAGGTAGCATAGGAGTTTAGATATGTCAGTGACTGACATGCAGAACCACTGAGTCCCAGACTGACTCCCAGCTTTATAAAATCTTAGAGGCTTTGGACCTCCAGAAATCTTTGAGAGATGAATCGGTACCTATTCTAGCCTCCCACTTAGCTCCTGACTCTTTAAAGGAAGCCAAGAAAAATATCTCATTTTCAGTGATTTCACAGGTCTCTTGTGCCCTTCATCCTAAATTGAGTTGAGCCTCCTGAGCTTCCTGTGCGCTGCCTGTGGCAGGAAGTTCTCTCCTGATGTAGCCTGTTCCACCGCTGTGGGGCTCAGAGGGGTGTCAGCGCTCTTCCTCCCACGGAACCAGCGGCCCATGCCTCAGTGCACCCTGAGCCTCCTTCCAGGAGATGAGCATGGCGACCGCGTCTCTCCACATCCGCCCTTTCTAAGCCAAGCATTGGCTCCTTTCATCCTCTGTTTGGCAGGGCTGTTGCTGGCCCAG